ACGCCACCCGCGTCCTTAGCGGGTAACTCCGCAGAGACGGTGTGCGGGGAGCCTGGAGGTAATTCGGGAGCCGCGGTTGCCCAAGTTAGGCTTTTACATGCGTGTGTGGGCATGCCGGTGTAAGTGGCCTGGTCTTCAAGGTGCACCTGCAGCTCCCAGTGACTCCCGATGGCTCAGGGGGCACCTGGGTGTGATGTGTGGCTTTAAAAGCCCAACTTCGGACTCGGAGTGTGTATTTCATGTACGCGCTCTGTCAGAATTACATGCTCACGCTCAGGCTGCTCCTGCTCCTTCTGTCCTGAGATGTGCAGTATGCAAATGTAACTTACTGCCACTGTTTCTCTTCAAAATTCGTTCTGAAATACCTTTTCCCTTTTTCCTTTTTTTTTTTTTTCCCATCGTAGGTGGACTTTTCATGAGGAACACTGTTCAGGAGCACAGTGCATTTCGGTTTGCTGTGCAGTTATACAACACAAACCAAAATACCACAGAAAAGCCCTTCCATTTGAACTATCACGTAGATCACTTGGACTCTTCCAACAGTTTTTCAGTGACAAATGCTTGTAAGTAAATACATGCTTTTTTTAAAAAAAAAAAAATACTTTTTACCTATCCTTCCATTCAATTTCTTCCTGGTAGCCTAGAGTTCTTGTTCATACAATATAGTGCAACAAATGTGTGTGCTGACATGAGGTTTAGTAGATTTGCAGCATTATATGGTTGAATAATACCTTAGGGAAAGTTCTGTCACTGCTTCTTTTCACCCCTTTAGTTTTGTTTTCCAGAAAAACAACCATGTTATTTATATAGCAGCGCTGTGTAGCTGTGATCAGTGAACTGCCGCTGAAGTAACATCCCTTTTCTGTTGAGGCTACAACCTAGCCATGTGAAACTGCATAATTTGCAAATAATACCTATATAGGAATAAAACAGAAACAGCTGATTACAAGTGACCTTGAGGGGACAAAGCCAGAGGGGCTTACTTCTCTGCCCTGAAATACTGGGTTGTTTTCTTACAGTGAAACTCCTGTTAAAAGCTGAGGAGACTGTAAACTGACAAATACCGTTAGAGCTGAGGGGAGAGAAAATGGAATCAGAACGCTTTGCGTTATGAGAAATAGCTCTGCACAGGCAGTGCATATGTATAATTTGAGCCTCTATTAACAGAAGAAGCAAAATAGAACTTTGAGTAGTGTTAATGGGTGTTAAAATGCGAAATCTCTTTCTGAAAGACTGGTGCGTGTTCTGCATTTAAAAAAGCATTCTTTTACCAGTAGTAGTTCCTGAATATTTGTTTTACTGATGTGTCCAAATTCAGTTTTACACAGTTTTTATTATAAAGCTTTGAAAATGAGTGGAGCCCTCTTGCAAGGTGGCTGCATGCACTTTGTAGTATACAGAAATACATCTGTACATGATCTAAAGGACCTCTGAATGCAATGTATGAACTTTGTGCTATGAACAGGATTCCTGTTCATATACTCACAGTATAAAAACGTTCAAAGAGGCAGCATTGTGCTAAAATAATGAAGTATTGGAGTACAGAAAACTATCATCTCTTGCTTTAAAACAATTTCATGTTTTGAACATCTTATTTTTAAAATATCTTATTATCTAATTTTTTGTTTGTTGGGGATAGGATAGTTCTTGTATTCCTGTCCCATGCTGTATAATTGGAAGGCTGGACAAGTAGGTATTTTGTTCTTCTAGGATTTCAGGTATTTTTTGAGAAAGTTGATGGTTAGATAATATACAATAAGGAAATATTTGGACAAAATTTGGATTGATATTCTAACATATCCCCCATGTGACTGCTTCTTGCTAGTGCAGCATTACACTTTTTAAAGGGCTTTGAATTAGGACCTTTAAAACTTTTGCAAGGGGGTTAATTATATAATAGCCAGTAAAAAATGTTTGGTAAAGTGGAAAACAAATGGTAAATAAAAGCGTGTCTGTACTTTGCATCTTATTTTACTAATCCTATCCAGCCTCAACAGCTCTTACAACAAACATCAGACTATTAATCCTTAATCAGTGTAATCCCTTCAAGAGGCTGTATCTCAAACATAGTTTCCTAAATATCAATTATATGGATTTAAACTAAATACATTAAACTGCCTGGGTGATTAATTATTAAATGTTTTTTAAAAGTTCTACCAGCAGTTCTTTACAGATCCCACCAAGACACGTAAACCACACGCTCATTCAGAGGCAGTCAATATATTATTTAGTCAGCATGCTTCTCATCTTCTGACGTCTAATGATTTTTGACATTGCTTAGTGAAAGCTGTGGCAATTTTAGTAAGATGAGATGGTTTTCTGTAGTATAGGGCTGCATGTTCCAACGCACATATTACTACTGTAGTAAAATTGAGATAACTTAAGTCTCTGGAGAAACCATAGGCCAGAGAATACCAACCTACAGTAACCTGTTTAAAAATAGATGATGTGAAAAAAGAAACAGAAGAAAGAAGATGAAAAGGTGACTTTGTCCATAGCTATGTCAACCATCTGGTAATACTCTTGGTAGGAAAAGAGTACGGTGAGTCCAAGTCACCAGTCATATAGGTCTCAATAGCTCAAAATTAAAAAAAAAGGTAGAAGAACAGTTGTTCTATATGGATCTGGAAGCAATTATCTTCTTTGAATGTGAGAATGCTCATACATCAGGATGAACTAATAGCTCCTCACACTACCTGGCTAACATGTAAAACATTCTGGCCTAAGTTCCCTTAATCACATCCTCACTTCGCAGTGGAGTGGCAGATGATTTCAGGGTGCTGCCGTATCCATGAAGGAATTCTTTCTACAACATTTTTACTTCTCTTGGAGATAAGCATAAATTGTCTCCAGTGCTGTCACACAGCCGTTTGATCAATATTTGCAATTGGCAGGGATCCATAGGAGAGAAACCTGCAGTGACTCTGACTGCTTTCACTGGAGAGGGAGATTGTGGCTGACTTTGTGACGGGATAGGTAAAGGGACTGAAGGGAAACTGGAGAAAGTAGCGTGTGTAGTTTGAGCCTGGTGACTGTACTAGTCGGTATCCATAAAATAGTACTTTTCATTCACCTTTGCTTTGATTTATATGGTAGTGGCTGTAGTAAGTGTTCATGCGTGCAGGAATTGAGGGGGGCTCTGCTCAGGAAAGACTTATGTTCTTACTGTACAGCTGCACATCCTGCTTGGTGCAATCTGGTGCATTCCAGAGGCAGCAGGAGAAAATCTCTTCTGAAGTATCCTCATGAGCCAGAGATAAAAAGCCCACCTCTGGTAGGGCTGATTTGGAAATACCCCAACGTGGGAAAAGACTTGTTTAGAAGCAAAAGAAAATTCCTGTCCTAAGCCCCTCCCTCTCATTCCTTTTACAGTTAAATGATGCATAATCTGATTTATGTACATGTATTCCCTGCTTCACTGCTAGCACCGAGTCACTCTCTGTGTATTTAATTTGTACACATGCGTACAGTATTCATCCACCCTGTATTTATCTGCCCACCTATTTATTTAGCTGTATGATATCTTAACAGAGAGCAAATGCAAACACAGATGAAAATTCCAGTGTATTTAAAGGTGAATTGAAGTTTATCACTTAGCTCTGGGGAGATTTATTACATCTTTTAAAATATGCAGCTTTTTGCCATCAGAAAAAACAGAAAGGAAGAAAGTTAACTTGACCTGTGAATGAATAAAATCAAGTAAAACATGGATGTTATATTTTCTTCAAAAACACTCATGAAGGCAGTGAACTGGCTTTTTCAGAATAATATAAATATAACAGCTTAAATGTATAAATTCATCACTGAAGTGTCTTTCGTGCTTTTCTTACAACCTCTGATGAAGGATGTTAGTATTAATGTTGAATTATGCGTACAGTTCTGTAGATCATATTCCCTAGAAATAACACGCGTATGTCTTTCTGCTCTGCACTTGTAGTGCACTATACTTACACTGCTCCAGCCTCTGCAGTGTCAGCTCATTAGCACACAGATCTCATATTCCCTCTCTGCACTGTCATTGCAAAAAATTGCTGTTGTACACCTTTACAGCCAACAAATGTGCACTTGTGTTATGTACAATTTTCAAGAAATATTTAGAAAAGTAAACTCAACCTTATACCTAGTCCCCGTGGAATTTCTCAAAAGAAAGCGTTAGTTTTCATTAAAATCTGTTGATCATGTAATGATAGTGGTGGGATGTGTACGGGTGAAAAGGGGCTGTGATTGCAGAATCTCATTAATCTACAGGCAGATTCCATCTCTCAGCTAAACCTAACCTAGCAGTTGCAAATTCTTGTCCTGTTAATTTTTTTAAGTATTTTCTCATATATCTTCTGAACCCAGAAGGTTTTTATATTTTACCAAATCTTGATGTGTAGTGCTCATTCTTTAAGAGACCAAAAAAAGAGGGAAGATGATGTGCTTACCTTAAGTTGCTAAAATCCTGCAAGTGATTGTATGGACACTTTCTTAAGGGGGTCTGATTTCAGACTTTCTTAGAAAATTTACTTTAGCATCCTAGCAGTCCTTGTGTTTAATCTTTAAAATTCAGCTTGGAAGATTTTAATGGAAAAAGTGCCTGTTTGTTGTTATGAGAATGTTGCAGAAAATGATAGCCCAGGGCTAGTAGCAGATAATTTTTCCAATTTAAATCTATTAGTCCCTTTCACCAAAGCACAGGTGGAGATATATATATATATATGCTTACATGCATACTCAATCGCGCATATGCACACGCACTTTTTCCTTAGGTGCTGCTCAGCATTTCTTTTTGCCGGTGGGCAGATAATTTGCTTCCCTTGCATCTGTGTACTCTTTGGCCAGCTGGCAAAGGACACTGATGCTGAAAGTGGTCAGCTCCCTTCTGCCAAAAGCATAAGCATGTCTCGCTGAAAGTCTTGCCAAGTTTGGGCCGTGTACTGGTAGTTTTGCGTGAGCTGGGGCCACAGGGTAGATGCCTCACTCTCCTGATAAGGAATGCACTGTGGTTTCTCCCAGCATTCTGTGGTAAAACACCTGGAAATGTGCTTTTACACAATTCTGCTCATTAGAGATCCATTGAAATGCCTTTTGTGCTGTGGAAGGTGCTCAAGTGTTGTATGTTACAGCTGTGTGACGGAGAAAAGCTGCTGGCTTTAGTTTAGGGGTCAAAGTTTTTGCAATATTGTGGTAGGCCGAAAGGTGAAGGATGTGTTCCAAGTAAGGTTTGTTTCCACTTCATGGCAAAGCAGATGGTTTGTTATTAAGCTGAATGTGATCTCAGTGTTAGCAGAAGGAACGTGTTCAAGTATGTTTTATTATTTCTTAAATTAATTTTAAAATAAGCTGACTCTCCTTTGCTGCATATGTAGCATTTATGTACTGTTTAGATGTGAGGGTTCCATTTTACTCACACTGTACAGATGGAAAAAAATCTTACACAAATGAATGCTTTTTTGAGAAACTCTGAATTCACCAAATGAAGAAGAGTAAAGCATGATGAGGAGTGCCATTTACTTGCTCGGTTTTGGGAAGATTTTGTGGGGATGCAGAGATGAAATTGTTCACTTTTCCTATATAGCAC